GTTTTGGTTGTTTTTTTTTTGTTTGTTTGTTTGTTTTTTTCATTTTCCCTTTTGAATCAGTCTGAAGTGTCGGCATATTTTGTTTGAACAAGAGTATTTTTCAGACAGACAGATCTGTTGATGTCTTAGTAAACCAACTTATTTTCTTGTAATTAATGCAGGTGTTCCTAGCAATAAAATAGAAATTTAATTTCTAAAAATAGAATCTTAAATTACCAAGCCTAAAAGTAGCAGCACCATTTTTGTTCTAAATGGCCCTCACAGGGGCTTATTAATGATATAATATTATATTGCTATTTTGGTGTCACATTTACATGTAGTGAGGGTTATTGGAAGGTAGAGCTTAAGTTTGTTTTAAATTTAGCTACACTTGATTGTGATGGTGAAGTGCTGTATGTGAAGTTTAGAATAAATTAAGCTATTAAAAAATAAATTCAAAAGCAAGTGACTCCTTGAGATTCACCCCATACAACTTCCAGACAGATGTGAACTATAACACCAAATGTTATGCTGAAAAAACAATAAGCATGGAGCATTAAGGTCTATCAAGAAAGTAATAATTATAAGAACATTGGCAAACTGCTCAACTAATTTCTGTGAGAAATTGTGACAACTACTGTCACTACTTTGGAACTTCAGAAAACTGAGGCAATTGGTCCCCAATAAATATGGCGGGGGTGTTCATCATCAAATTTTGAAAAGAACCCGTCTATGTATTATGACTGAAATTTCCAGTGGGGCTCGATGTCCTTGGCCTCCAACCCAACCCCCCTACAACCCAACTCCCACCCCCTCCCCCCACCCCAACTCCCCTACTATCACCACCACCCTCCAGCAGGCCTAATGTGACATCTTTCTGCCCTTCAGTTATTTTCACCCAGCAAAGCTTCTAATATGTTCATAACCCTGTTATGTTCACAGGAAAATGCAATATATCATAATAAATATGAGCTTTTTAGGTAAAAATCTTTTACGTCTTAAATTTATGAGCGTGGCTGTAGCTAAGACTATGCTTAAATTTGTTCAGTGTGGTCCAAACTTTGTTGTTGCTGCAGCTTTTCAAAAATAACCCCCCCCCCCCNCACGCAGTTTCAAACCAAAAGAGCTTCTCGAGGAACCTTGCAGTAGGAATTTGTCGATGGAAGCACGTTGAACCGCCTGAAACTCCATGTGAGAAAAGGTGTCAAAGCGCTATGACAAATGGTAGAATTTTACATGAAGGAGATACTGTTCAAACCCATGATGCTCTTCCAGAATCTCTTTGTTACGTATACATTTTCACGTTTAACCGCTGAATAAAACCTTTGTAGTTTGCAACGTGGCGTCTTAAACGGCTAGGAATTATACAGAATTTTGATCTTTCTGATACGTCTAATCGGTGGCTGAGGTGTTCAACACTTTCTGAGCATAGGTAAGTTTTTTATAGAAGTGTTTGCATCTCGTAAAATTTGAGATCGTTCGATTGAGGATGGTTATTTTGACAGAAGTTCGTTGCTTCAAGTTTAGTTCCGGTATGTTTCGTGATTTCTAAACTAATGGTCGTGCGATCGGTCGACAGCTGTATACATTATTCACAGCTGATATTCAACAGAATTAATGTACTATACGAAAAGACCGTAGGTAATTTCAGAGCAGTTTGTGGTCTTATTAATTGTCAGCAATATTATGAAAATTAAGTGACATGTTCTAACACATAAGCTTAATAATCTCTAGCAGGTTTACAGTGTCTGCCAACTTTATCTTAACAACTTTTCCGGCTTCGTGCCATTTTAAATAGCAAAGTTGTTAAGTTGGCGAATACCTACGTTGGCTTTTCTTTACTTTTAACTTTTCAGTTTACGACTTAACTTTCCTTGTCAGTTTCATACGAATTTTAAGTTATTATATTGACTTATTGCTGCAAACATAAGCTTTTTGTTGTTGTTTGAAAGATTGCTGTCAGACTAAGTCATCTTACTTCGTTCAGTATATCACTGAACTTGCTGTTAAGCAGATAATTTGCTTTGTAGTAAAACTTGCCTTAATGACTCTTTGACAGCATATTTGTAATGGAGCACAGACATGCATAAAGACCTCTTTACCAAGTTGTCTAGACAGATTACATGTCTCCAGCAGAGAAGAGGTTATTGATGATGAAAAGATTTGTCCAGGCATTGAATGCATGTCCAGCCATGACTTTAAAGGTCAAAATGCCTCCAAGACAAAACACCCCCACCAAAGGAATGGTACAAAATTTGGATACTCCTCCTTGACCCCCTTTTAGAAGGGGATCAGCAAGTAGGAGGTCCAGTTCAAATGGGAGTCCAGGATTTTTTCCTGTCCCCTAACCAAAACATCCTTGGGATTTCCATGTGGAATGAGACTAATGGACACTAAAAGCTTTGATGCAGCACTTTTTAAGAAAGGAGAATATACAGCCAGTAGCTTTTTCTTGCAGGAAGTTGTTTTTAAATATGAATAAATATTTATTATTATTTTGTTCATACTCTGAACACTAGAGAGTAGTTTTTCTTGTCTTTGACATTTTAAGCTGTTTTAAACCTAACCATGGCTGGGGTTTTACAAGACTAGGAGACTACAAAATCGTTGTTCGGCCATCATCCAATTACCAACTGTTGCAAAAAGCTATGTTGTGTTCATGTTTCACCTAGTTAATCCACTATGGAAGTTATTATCATAAAGGAATAAAATGTAGCTTTTTTTGTACTGTTGTAAAATTCAATCAGGTTTTGAGAGCACCAGAAAAGTTAAAAAAACATAAGCCATTACATTTCAGAGTGATCACAAATGCCTGGATTTTTTCCTCTGTAGAAAGTGCGAGATGGATGAAGCTTCAGAAGATAGCCGTCCAGCTCAACCAGGCTTTGTCAAAAAGTTTTTCATAACTATATCACAGGTAATATTTCAAAACTGCCAGTTTTTACTTTTAAGTGCAGATACTGATTTTAAATCCCGCCAGGTTTTCTAACCCTTACCAAACTTCGAAAGCACTATCATCCTGCCTCAGAGCAAGGGTATTGTCAATAATATTGTCAAAACGGACAGATTTGTCAATTGATTTTGAGGAAAGCATGGGTTAAGTTAATAATATATAAATCTTTAAGACAGCAGAGTAACATGGCCTTGCAGCCCCTAACTTGTCACAGCCAGCTACTCTTCCAGCTGCAGACGCCTACTTCCAAAACATTCTGAAACCCCTGTGTACAGGAACTCATCTTCAATTTTTACCATTAATTACTTCTTTGTAATCTCTTGGTAACTGTTTAATTGTATATGCTGAATCAATTGTACATACACGACATGTGGTAAATGTATGTTATGACTTTTTTTAATGTTACATCTATGACTCTTTTCAACAGAGATACCAGAAGTTTCTGGACACCACAGTGCCACATCTCCCACTTAGATGGGTTGCAACACTGGTCCTGACACTTATGTTTCTTGCCAGGGTATTTTATCTACAGGTATGAGTATCCAAAACATTTCTTAGTGAAATGCAGGGGTTTTATTAACCTTTTTAGCAGGGTGGCAACTGGTTTTCAAAGGCGGGAAAAACTATGTAAACTGAACTTCTTTATAAGAAAAACTTTTTGCTATGTGGTCAAACTAGGCAAGCAAAATCATCCTCACAGCTGGTCAATTTGCCCAGTAGCCAACCCGCAATAAAACCCCTGGTTATGTGGTCATTGGACGTTTTCCAACTAAATTTTGAAATTGACAGACTAACTTTACAGTATGGTCAAACTTTATGTTTGAGCACCAAAATGACAACTGAAAGCTTTTTGTCAAGAAGATCATGCATTTTTTTTCCATACTTGATACTGAGGTAGTGTAACATTAGGCCTACATGTACTGTGCATCTCTTCTTGCTTACTCAATATTCTTTCCCTCCTCAAAAGACATCAAAGTGTCAGTTGTCAGTTGTGTACAAAAATTCTATTTTAATGCAGCATCAGAAATACTACACAGATCTATAGATATAAAGCTATGTTGGCGTCCACATCATCATCATCATCATCATTATTAACTTAATGCCAGGACACTGATGGTGTGAGGTTACATCATCAATGTATAATTTTTCAGGCCATTGAATCTCATTCTTTTTTTTTAGTTTTGAGTGGGAAAGGCTCAGGATAAATGCAATCATTCATATTACATGTATGTTTCAATACAAAATAGTCTTCCATGGATATATGTTTTTTTTTTCTTTGCAGGGCTGGTACATAGTAACATATGCCCTTGGTATTTACCACCTTAATCTCTTTATTGCATTCCTGACACCTAAAATTGATCCAGCTTTAGAAGAGTTAGGTGAGGAGGACTTAGGTGTGTTTATTTCTTGTTAATT